AGGGAATGAGTGCTTTAAAGCCTGGAGGTGGTTGCTAGCAGGGCCAGGAAACACAGGAAGAAGCTAGCACAATACATCAGGTGGGAACTGATGATGTTAACTCTGCTGCAGGAAGAGATCATGCCTGTGAAAAGCTCCTGGGGACAAAGGGATGTTACTCAAGGAGAAAGGGGAGTGGAGTGGTCAGATGAGAGAGTCCCTGTTGTTTACAGCCTGAACCACCAAGGATGGGGGGAGGCTGGTGACACCCATGGCTACCCCAGCAAATGGTGTGGTAATCTCATCTGCCGTACAACTGGTATACAAACAGCTCCAAATCACAAATCATGATCTTGGCCAGATTGTCTCCCTAGGGCAATCCATCTGAGATAGGCTGCCAACTTAAAAAAAAAAAAAGATTGAACTTTAGGGAGTTTCTAATTAAGGCAGGTGAAGCCCTGGGAAAGAGGAGCCAGAGGCGATTGTGGGAAAATGTCATGCAATCATCAGGTCAAGAGATGGGAGGAGGGAGAGGGGACTGAGGGCAGGCCACCGGCATGGGCAGAGCTGGGACAGTGGACACAGGGGGCAGTCAGGTTGTGAGGGGTGGAGCAGGCAGTGGGAGTTGAAGGACTGCTTTCTTGTGAGCTTTGAAAAGGAAGGTGAACCCCAATTTAGGAAGCTCCATGGTGCAAACAGGTAGGACTGGCACAGGGAGAAAAGCAGTGATTCCTGGTCTGTGGGCCTCTTCCTGTGACCACCATGTCTTCCTGGGGCTAGACCCCCCCCAGCCCAGGTGGGTTCAGGAGTCCCTGTGCTACCTCAGCCAGTCTATGGCTTTACCCTTTGGACGGATGTGTCACTCTAGCTGCTGTCTTCCAGTACACTGGGAGCAGCCGACTTCAGCTGATCCCAAGTCATGGAGTTCACCAAGAAGAGCTCCAGAGGTCCGGGAGCCCAAGAGGAGGGGTCAGCCGGAAGCTGCGAGGCCACTGTCAGGGCTGAGACAGTGTCCACACACACTTCCTCCCCTCTGGACACACAGCATGGGTGTCACCGTGCCTCAAAGGCTAAGTAGGTGGAAAAGAGGAGTGACAGCCACCCCTCCCCAGGTTGGGGTGTGAACAACGGAAGGCCACACAGAAACCATCTTACAGCGTTGTGAGGCAACGTTTTGTCAGAAATGATCAGAACCTGGCCAGAACCTTCCACGAAGCTGTCCTTCCCAGCATCACCCTGTTTGCAAATGCAAGCCTGTGTCCATCTTTGCAGGTGCTACCCCAGGGCAATTATGCATCTAATGAAGAGGCTGCCCAGGCTAAGGATCCTTTCTGGAACCACTAACAATAAATAGCACAGTAACAGCTTCTCTCTACTGAGCAGCATGCCATTTGCTCCTTACAAAATCATGGAGAGGAAAAGAAACTGAGTCGGGGTGAATAATTCATTCAGAGCTTCAGACCTCATAAAGGACCAGGATGGCCAGATATGGTGGTGCTTCACACTTATATCCCAGCACTCAAGAGGCTGAGGCAGAAGGATTATGCCAGCCTGAGCTACACAGGGAGATCCTGTCTCAAAAACAAGACAGAATGGAACAACCGAAATCCAGTCTGCCAGATTCCAATGACAATCGGTTAAAAAAAAAAAAAAAAGAAGTAAAGCAGTTAGGCACCATACCTGCAATCCTAGCTATGAACTTAGTGTGTGTGTGTGTATGTGTGTGTGTGTGTGTGTGTGTGTGTGTGTGTGTGTGTGTGTGTGTGTGTGTGTGTGTGTGTGCTGTGTTGAATTTGGGTCCTTGAGCAATTGTTTAGTTCTTTGCTCAAGACTGGTACTCTGCACCTTGAGATACATTCTCATTTCCAGTTTTTTGTTATTTGGAGATAAGAGACTTTCCCACCCAAGCTGGCTTTAAACTGTGATCCTCAGATCTCAGCTTCCTGAATAGCTAGGATTGTAGGCATGAGTCAGTGAAGTCCTTTATTATGTTTTTTGTTTGTTCATTTTTGTTGTTGGTTGTGGGGCTTGAACTCAGGGCTTGGGCACTGTCCTTGAGCTCTTTTGCTCAAGGCTAGCACTTTGAGTCGCTGCACTACTTCCAATGTTCTGGTGGTGAATTGGAGATAAGAGTCTCACAGACTTTCCTATCCTGGCTGGCTTCAAACTGTGATCCTCAGATCTCAGTCTCCCAAGCAGCTAGGATTATAGGCATGACTCACCTGGCCTTTATTATGTGTTGATATCAAATATTCATACTTTAAATTGAGCTATGCAAGATCCAGCGCTTCATCTTTATTTTGTTCAGGCAAAATGTGGTGGGGCTGCATCCCTGCATTATTTATCTTCCCAACTGCATGGCAATCCTGCGCTCATTGTGGTTTGAACAGAGAGAAAGAAAAGAACTGAAATCCAGGACTGATATGGAGCTTAGCTCTGGCTCCAGATAATTACAGCCCCAATTTACACACTGTAGTGACCTCTTGGGACAAAGGCAACAATGTGATCCTTGTCTTGAAAAAGCTTATAAGTGTATGCTGGTGGCTCAAGTCTGTAATCCTAACTTCCCAGGAGGCTGACATCTGAGGGTCATGGTTTGGAGGCAGCTGGCACAGAAAACTCTGAGAGACATCATCTCCAATTAACCAACATAAAAGCTGGATTGGAGGAGTGGCTCAAGTGGTAGAGTACCAGCTGTGAGCAGAAGAGCCAAATGAGTGCCAAGAGGCCCTGAGTGCAGTCTTGAGATTTAGTACACACACACACACACACACACACACACTCAACTATTATGAAACCTAATAGTTTAACACCAGGACCTATGACCTTGGATCATTAGGTGTTCACTCCACCTCATTTCCAGAAGATATAAATACCCTTGACTTTTAATTGCTTAGAATTTTACACAAATATATTTAAGGCATTTCTTCCTTCTCAAGTTCAAGTGTCCCAGCACACTGACAATTCAGTGAAGCAAAGGGATTCCTTTCAGCTGCCTGGCCTTCATTTGGATTTTCTATGCCTTTTATAATGGGTGAATGAAATGACAGTGCAGTCTTAACCTCAAAATGCTCTGCAGGGTCCTGTCAGCTTCTGCTTTAGTAGCCATGTGATTGGCTGTCACTATTACTCTTGCTTTAGAAGCTATTTCCCAGCCCTTTTGGGGCATCCAAGTTGGGTTCTTGTACTTCAGTGGGTTACTCTAGCTTCTGTTTCCTAGGGCTAGGGAGAGCCCAGGAGAGCGTGGTGGGGGGGGGAGGGGGAGGGTGTAGAAACTGGTCACTGCTGGCCAGCTGATCCCCTATTCCGCTCTTAAAATGGAACCACCAACAACCAAGGGAGGACATTTGTACTTCTGGGGAGGCCAACATTTTGGAGGCTGTGAGAAGGGGAAAAGGAGACTTTAAGACAAGCTCTCATTGATCATCTGTCTCCTCCTTCCCTCCCTCCCCCTGCCCCCCTAACTCTCTTGTCCTAGGGTTTGAAGGTTTTGTTCCTGTGAGGCAGAATTGCCTTCTTTTTAAAAAGGAGAAACAGAACCTTCTGATCTTCCTTCCAGTTCCTGGGTGTCTCACTGAGGGCTGCGGAATGGAATGAGTTGTCATGTCCTTTGCTTTTTCCTAATTTGGTCTGGCAGGCATATGCGCAGGCCTGGTAAACATATCTTTTGGACAAGGGTGAAGGGGAAATCTAGTGCCTTCTATTTTCTTGTTTCATGTGCAAACTGACACTGCATGGCGGTCTGCAGAGAGCTGCAGCTGAGCTATAGTTACTGTTTTCTTCTTAAAGCTCTATAGTGAGGACAGACATGTGATTTCTAGGCTTGTAAAAATGCATCTTCAGGGGGCTGGGGGTTTAGCCCAGTGGAAGGGCACCCGCCTGGCGCGCGCAAGGCCGTGGGTTCGGTTCTCAGCCCTGGTTTAAAAAATAAATAAATTAATTAAAAAAAAAATGCATCTTCACAATAAGGATGATGCAGAATGAAAGCCAAGCAATGCCGTCAAGAGACCAGTACTTTCTTTTCTTTCTGTTGTCATGGTGGCTCCAACTCAGGGCCTCCGGCTCTCACTTTTCACTTGCAGCTAGCACTCTACTACTTGAGCCATGCCTCCATTTCTGGCTTTTTACTGGCTAATTGGAGATAAGAGTCTCATGAACTCTTCTACCCAGGCTGGTTTTGAACTTCAACCCTCAGATCTGAGCCTCCTGAGTAGCTAGGATTACAGGCATGAGCCACAAGCACCTGTCTGAGGACAGCACTTCTGTGCTTTCCCATTAAAGCAGAAAGGCAAAAAAAAAGAGACAAAAAACAAAGACAAACCAAAAATTGTTCTGCTAGGCACCAGTGGCTCATGCCTATAATCCTAGCTACCCAGGAGGCTGAGATCTGAGGATCGTGGTTCAAAGCCAGCCCGGGCAGAAAAGTCTCCATGAGACTCTTATCTCCAATTAAGCACCCCAAACCCAGAAGTGGTACTGTGGCTCAAGTGGTAGAGTATTAGACTTGAGCACAAATGAGGCTCAGGCCCAGGCCCTGAGTTCAAGCTTTACAACCACCACTACCACCACCAACAAAAATCATATTAGGAATGACGAAAATATTTATCTTGGTGTTGGTGGCTCATGCCACCAACTATCTTAGATAGATACTCAGGAGACAGGTCTGGAGGATCATGGTTTGAAGCTAGCCTGGGGAAAGAAAGTTCCAGGGACTTCATCTCCAAAATAACCAAAAAGTTGAGCTGAATATGTGGCTAAAGTGGTAGAGATCCTGCTCAGCAAGCAAGCTCAGGGAACATGAGTTCTTGAGTTCAAATTCTGCCACCAGGAAAAAGATTTGACAATGGAGTAATAGGCTGAATTCTGTCCCTGGCCACTTCCTCTGTGGAGCACTGGAACACTTATAAATACATGCTACCTGTAGTGGCTGATTACCACTTCGTTCGGGTAGGTTCTCTGGCTTAACTGTCGACATGGAAATTAATTAGTGACCAACTTCACTGGATCCAGGCTATTTGAACCCAGTGAGGGTTATTTTATTTAGTGTAGTTCTCAGTTTGTTCCCATGTATCAATGTGGGAATATCTTAGGTGATTTTGGCCCAAATCAGTATTATACAAGCAAATAGATATTTGTTGAGTCTCCACGATGCTGAGAGGTTGTAGGGCATGCCTAAGATACAGCTACTGTGACTTCAAGAGAGCCACAGCCCAGCAGAAAGGTCCAGAAATAGGAGGAAATGCTAGGCTGGAAAATACAGGAACCTCAGAAAGCTGGAATTCAGGTGAGTCATGTGCAACTCATTTGTGTTGTGTGGGATCTAAGGAACTATTTCGGAGAAAGGTAAGAGAAGTAAATTAAGATGAATGATGTTTATTGTCTTTCAAGTCCAAAGAACGTAAGTATGATGGGGAAAACAGAAACATCAAAGCAAAGGCAAGTGTCTCAGGGGCCTGTGGTCGGGTCGGCGATGTGGTGAAGGAGCACCACCTAGAGGCAGATGCTGTGCTGGCGCTCTGTGGGTTCCCAGACTGCTTCTGAATCTTGACTGGTGCTGCAGGAAGTGACTACACTGTGGTCAACAGAGCATTTTGACATGGGGGTTTTCCTACATTCCATCAGAGATGTTGGGCTGAGGTGAAGTGGAACAGCTGGGGGAGACCATGGCAGGAACATGGGTATTCTCTAAAGCCTTGGATTTCGAGAACTCCTTTCTACAATATGCAGAGACTGCTGATTTGATTTGTAAATTTAAGCCTTATTCATAACCAATAATCTCTTGAGGCTAATGACCCTGAGACTGTAACTCTCATTGTATTATATAATTAAAATGTAAAAAATAGGTACCTACTAGAAAAGAGTAACTGAGTTTGGGTTTCTTAAGGTGTTTTTCCTCTGTGACTTTGTGTAGTTACTGTTTACAGATTTCAAAAGTCATCAACATACAGGTGAAACATCAAGTTGAACTAAAGTTGTGCTGTTTGGCTGAGCACCTAAGTCTTCCTTCTATAGCTGCCAACATTTCTTTTTTTTGGGGGGGGGGGGGTCTGGTCATGGGGCCTGAACTTTGGTCCTGGTGCTGTCCCTCAGCTCTTCAGCTCAAGGCTAGTGCTCTACCACTTGAGCCACAGCGCCACTTCCGGCTTTTTTCTTTTTGCTTATGTGGTGCTGAAGAATCAAACCCAGGCCTCAGGCATGCAAGGCAAGCACTCTACCACTGAGCCACCTTCCCAGCCCCAGCTGTCAACCTTTCAACAGTATCCACCAAATGCCAAATCCTTATTTGTCCTAGAAACATCTTTATTCTTCAAGCCTGGCCTGACTTCAGAATGTCTGCATAAACCAACCTCTGATCTTGGTCCTATTACATATATATCTCTGAACTTCAGGTCTGGAGTGTATGTTTTAAGTCAACTGTATTCAATGAGAATCTGATCTTGAAGTTAAGCCACACTGTCATCACTAATGGGATGTCTTCACTGTCCTATGGCATTTCTTCACTGGGCCACACAATTCCTTCAACGTTAAAAACAGCCTTTAAGTCAACACTGGGAACATAATTTTCAACTTTTAGCAACTGGTCAAAAATACTTAAAAGGTAGATTACCCATAACCACCTATATTTTTTTAGCAAGCAAAACTTATTCAAGATGCTTTCTTTTTTACCAAATTTTCCCATTTTTGTGTCCCCTGATATTTATGTATTTTTTATACAATGAATCCTAACCCTCACTCTCCACTAAGGATGATGGGCTGTCATGGTCACTACAACTTAGCTGACAGTCACCCAGGACACACTAGTCAGCCAGTTGTTTCTAGATGTTATACATGTGATAACAGTTCTTCTATGTTGTCTGCTTTAATATTTTTACCATCTTCCCTGAGGAACTGGCAGTTTTTAAATACACCTATTGTTGTGAATACAATATAAAACTCTAGAATTTCCTCAACACTTCAGTCATGAAAGTGGTATTAAGGGTCTATGAGAATGCAGTACAACGTTAGAGTTAGAAACAGACTAAATGACTGCAGTTGCTAGGTGAATTTGCATCTCTGTTTAGGTCTCTGGGTAGTGATGCTACGTGTTCACTGGCATCCATAGGGTGGGTGATGGGTTACCCCAAAGGCTTCAGAGGTGCTCTGATGTCATCAATGACCCTCTTTTTACTCCTTTATGTGTGTATAAGTTTTATAAACTCCAACAGGATTGTAGCACCAGGAAAACTTTTCATTAATTAACTGTATAACTCACAAGTATTAAAGGAAGAAAAGTCAATTACTCAACACTGACATTTTATTTTCTGAAGTTTATCATTTTTACAAAACAAAACAAAACAAAAAGCAAGTATCAAAAACAGCAGAGTTTATAGAATTTCTGCACCAGTTCACACATACATCAGTGATTTTGAAACTGGTATCCAATGTAAATACTAAACACAGGCTGATTCCCTCTTGGTCAAATGCATTCAGGTGGTTTTGGAGTTACTTTATAATAATAATAATAATAATTTTTTGTAAGCACCGGTCATTTCTTGAGAACCGATTTGGTTTTCCAATAAAGTAAACAATTTTTTGCTGAATGGCATTTTCTTAAGAAAAACACTGAGCTGAAACACATAATGTGTATTTGTTTGGATCTGAACCAAATCTTCTGAGATCTCAATTACCCTGAAGAACACTGAGGGATTTATGGGGCATATTAAATGACAGATTAAATACTTGTGTATACTTCACAATGTTTAAGGCAGCTACTGTATTTTTACATAAAATAGTATTTTACTCAGAGAGGCTGCCCAGAGTTTTAAATATGTCCCTTCTGGTTTGGAGTAGTTTCCAAACAGAACCATATTATCAGAACACAAAAGTTTGATGTGTGTGCTAAACATGCTCTGATCTTTTATAGATACATTTGTGTAGAGCAAGACTCCTTGCTCTGGACCCTGGGTGACCCACAAAAAAGTTGAGAAGTCATAATAATTGGATGCTAAAAGGCATCAGCATACTTAAGCTCAGCAGAATCTGAAGGCTAGCAGAAGTCAAGTTGGAGATTGGTAGTGGTGTTCATTCACCACTTCTTCCAGAAATAGATTTTGCTTAAATAGTAAGCATGGTCCAGTTTTCCAATGTTAAAAGCTGCCAGTCTCATTTTTTTTTTTTTTAATAAAAATCATTTCTTGATTAGCAATGAGTTAGGAAACTGGCCTCAAAGTCTGATCAGATCTCTCAGTATTAGTTAAAGACAATATAATAGGAAATCAAGTCACTAGGGGTTAAAATTGCACAATTAAACTTATATGTAAATCATACAGATTGGTATACACATCATTGAAATGATTATGAGGGGACAAAACACTCCCGATGAACAGTTTCCTCTATTTTATCCCAATTTTCATCGAAGGAAAACTGATATGTAATTTTCTTCTTTACAGATATGAAAAAAGGAAGCAAGAAGGCAAAGCTGAGAGAAACAGATGCTGCCCACGGGGCAGTGATGGCATTTGGTTGTTTTGGTCTTTGTACCAGCAACTCCCACTCTCACGGCCGAGATCCAGTTCCAGCTGGACTACACGGTTTTCCTGGCAGTCAAGACACGAACGATGGACCCAACTCCTCCTGCAGCAAGTGCCTATAACAAACCAAAGCCAAGGTTCACACACTCGTAAAGGGTTAAGTCTCATACAAAGTATCACATTCTTCAGCTCTAGACTGAATTCATTCAATCTTCCTCTATACCTACTATGCGCCACATACTGCCTTTAGCACTTGGCATACAACAATAAACAAATTTTCCAATGCCCCGGCCCTCAGGAGTTTCCATTCTATTCAGATACTAGTTTGTAAAAGTAGTTGTAATTACTAGTTAGTAATTATTCCTAAATAATGTTTAAAAAATTAGTCTGCAGTATAATGCTGTTGCCTAAAATAGGTGTTCAAGTACAAATGTAAGACATTTTGTATCTCTCATTCTTACCAGTTAGGAAGAAATTCAAATTGGGATCATCTACTGCAACTTTCACTTAAATTAGTCATGTTATTTTCCTACCAAGGTAAGAAGATACTATTAAGAGCAGGAACTTGGTAATTTTAACTCTCACTTGAAAAACTAAAAGACACAACCAAGTATCAGAAACTAGAAGGGCTGGTTTATTTCTGTCCAAAAATAATCTTGCTAAGTACCTCTGTATTGGGTAATATGCTAGAACTGGGGATATGAAAGTGAAGAAGCACACCACATACCATCTTCTGGTGTGGAGACAGTCATAAATACGTAACTTTTTAAAATAAAATGGATGAATGGTAAGTTATGCTTGGGGTGCTACAAGGGGGTATAACCCAGCCTACAGTATAAAGCAGTGTTTCTGGTAGGGCTTCCAGGAGAAAAATGGCATGTTAAATGGAAGAGGTATCAGATGAACACTGGAAAAGCACCAGCAAACCTAAGGAAATGTGAAAAGGCAGGGTGCACTCAGGGCAAAGGCTGGCACCTCTGTGGCTGAAGGGCAGCATAACATGGAAAATGAAATCAGACTTGAATACTTGCTTTGTTTTGCAAATGACTGGTAAGGGCACAAATGGATTTTAAAGAGATCATTCTGGTGACTGAGTGGAGAAGATTTGAAGATGGCAAAACGGGCAGGTGGGAAATAAGTTAGGTAACTATAGCTGCAGACTGGAGTTGCTGGGAACCAGGCATTAGCAATGCACTGAGTGGATGGATTTGAGAAGTACTTAGGAGGTAAGATTGGCAAATGCTGGTGGCTGTATGAAGAAGCTATAAAGACTTACCACATGGATAATAGTAAGTTTTTTCTTCTTCTCTGTGCTAGTCCTGCAGCTTGAGCTCAAGGGCAGAGCATTGTCTCTGAGCTTTTTGTTGTTGTTTGTGGAGCTAGAACTCACAGCCTGGACACTGTCTTTAAGTCTCTTTGTGCTCTACCACTTGAGCCACAATGCCAAGTCTGGTTTTTGAGTGGTTTATCGGGGATAAGAATCTCACAAGGACTTCTCTACCTGGGCTGGCTTTGA